CAACCAATAAGAGAAACATATATTCACAACATACAGAAGGATATCTCCTGATGGTAGAGACAAAGTCCCTGCAGGCCAGGAGAGAGACAAGGGACTCCACTTCTCCCTGTTCTCTTAACATAAAACTATGTTAACTTTCTATTTAGTGGTTCTAGGGATTGGATTTAGCACCTTGGGCATGCTAGGCTCTACCACTGATTGTGTGTGTGTGTGTGTGTGTGTGTGTGTGTGTGTGTGTGTGTGTATATAAATGCACTTTTGTTTTAGCAACTGTAACAAAATCGGTGAAACCATAAACTTTGACAAACAGTTTCAGTCTGTGGTTGCCTGAGGCCTGTGGCAGGACAATGCATTGTGGTGAGAATACATGTGAGGAAACTGCTCATATCCTGGTAGCCAGGAAGCAAAGAGAAAAGGAGGAAGGAAATAGAGTTGCAATACCCTGTTGAAGGGCACACCCCAGCTTAGTTACTTTTCTGTTGCTGTGACAAACACCATGACAAACATCAAGGCTACTAAGCAAAGAAAGTATTTAATTGGGCTCATGGTTCCAGGAGATTAGAGTTCATGATCATCATGGCAGCAGGCAAGCAGGTGTGGTGCTGGAGCAGTAGCCAAGAGCATATGTTTGATCCACATGCAGCAAGCAGGAGGCAGAGACAGAGAGAGAGAGCTAACTGAGAATGACTTGGTCTCTTGAAACCTCCAAGTCTGCCTCTAGTGACACACCTCCTCCAACAGGCCACACCTAATCCTCCCAAACAGTTCCACCAACTGGGGACCAAGCATTCAAACGTATGAGCCTGTGGGGGACATTCTCATCCACTAGTTTTCTTCCACTAAGCCCTACTATCTGGAAGCCAGATACCTCCTAATAGTGCCAAAAGCTGAGGGCAAAGTCCTTCAACACATGAGCCTTTGGGGACCATTCAAGATCCAAACTGTAGAAAACTTCATTTGTTTTAGTGTATAATTATATACTGATTTTAAAAATCAGTTTGTCATGGTTTAACGTATATGAAATAAAACTTGCCCATTTTAATTTTGTTTTTGTTTTTCAAGACAGTGTTTCTCTGTGTAACAGCCCTAGCTGTCCTGGAATTAGCTCTATAGAGGCTGGCTCTATACTCACACAGAATCACTTGCCTCTGCCTCCTAAAAGGTGTGTGCCACCACCCAGCTCTGAAATACTTTTATTGAAAAATATATAGATAGGTATAACAGCCACTTCATTCAAAAGTTAGGATATTTCCATGTTCTGAAAGTTCCCTGTATATCTTTCCAGTCATTTTCCTCCTAGACAACTGTACCCCAGATAGCTACTGATCTATCTCATGAGTTGTTTTCCAAATCTTTTAAATCACACTGTGTTCTTTTACTATCTGACTTCTTTCATTCAACATTGCTGTTGAAGGATTTATTACTAGTTTGTTTCTTTTGGTTGCCAAGTGGTATTGCTATATGGACATACCACAATTGTTTAACTACTCAGATGTTGATGGGTAATTGGGTTGTTTCCAAGTTTTTTTCTATTATGAATGCACCACAGTGATGATCATTTGTGCATAAGCCTTGATTTAACCTTATGTCTTGCTATGAACTTGCTTTTCATTTTCCTTTGCTCATCTGATAAGAATGTCTTGGTTTTGTAAGAATCTTCTGTACTATTTTCTAAGGTTCCTGTACACCACTCTTTTGAAGGACTTTTACTAGTTAGTAATAACCAGTCATAGTTGAAACTGTCTTCCCTAATTTGTCACAGACAATCTATATCATAGAAACATTTATAAAGAAGTCATTTCCACATTACATTGTGTTTATGTGTACTTGAGATTTTAATACATCACCAGTGGCAGTCTCTTCTTGATTTCATGGAAATCTTTCTCCTCATGTGGAAGTAGGAAAGAAATTCTTCCCATCTTTGGAGCATCAGGTAAAGGAAGACAAATCCCCTGAACTGTGAGCCAAGAGCATGGGTAAAAGGATTTTTCTCTAGAGGATTACTGTTAAATGGAAATATACACATGTCTGTGAAGTACAGTTTTCTTTTAGCTTGGCTACAGAGCTCTTCATGTTCAAACACTATTTCCACCATTTTCTGGGTATATCTTGAGCAAGTATCTTCCAAGCTTCATTTCACCATCTGTAACCAAGGGAAACAAGAGTACTCTGTGGATTCCTGTGCAGATTCACTGAGATAGCACATGAAAAGCATGCTATAGAGTGACCAGCAGATTTTAGAATGTAATTAAGTGGTAACTGTATTTTTAATGTGTATGAGTGTTTTGCCTGCATGTATGTATGTATGTATGTATGTATGTATGTATGTATGTATGTATGTGTACTGCATGCATATCTGGTGTCCATGGAGGCCAGAAGGGTGGAACTGAAGTTATGAATGGTTGGGAGTTGCTGTGTGGGTGCAGGGAACTGAACTCAGCAAGTGCCTTGGACCGCAGAGCCGTGTGTCCAGTCCCTAAAGTGGGAACTTTAAAACATACAAACCATTCTTCAGACCTGATTTTTCTCTTTGGCTGCAAATGCCAGGATGGGCAAGTGCTCTATTACTGACCTCCATGCCCAGCCTTAGAGTTTCCTTTACATGGAATTTCTTAAAAGTCTGGTTGAAGATGACACTCAGAAAATTGTCACTTAGTATCATGTATTGCCAAACTATGGATTCAGTAAATACCATCTAGCACCAAGTATTCAGCTAGATCACAAATATGTATAGAACACAGTCTTCACCATCAGTGTCACCAAAACACCCAACAGAGCAGGGCTAGTATAACAGTGATGAAAGTAGAACAACTTTTCCTAACAAGCTTATAAACTGAGTTTATAAATTGAAATCCTTGTAATTTGCATAACTCTTTAGCTTCTTGTAAATTACATATCCACAAACAAGAAGATACACATTTAAAATAGGATTTTAGAAATTAAATAGGTATGGCTTTGCATTCTGAGTGATTAGTATAGTCTTTATTTCAGCTATACAAAAGATTTTGCTGCTTCCTCTTGAAGAGACTTTTCTGACTTGGGCTTTGTGTTTAGTTTAGTAGTGTATACGGGTCTGACAAAAAATACAAAAGTCAATTTATTTCAAAGGTCTGAAATGCAAAATGTATATTTACATAAAATGTCTTAAATGGTTTTACTCATAAGTGAAAAGCTAAAAAATAACACAAAGAATCAATTAAAAGATAAAACTAGAACTGGAAAGATAGCTTAGTTGTTAAGAGCACTTGCTGTTCTCCCACAGGACCTGGATTCAGTTTCTGGCAACCACAAAGTGACTTATAATTATACTATACATAATATAGTACCATTCTCTAGTTCCAGGGAATCTGATAACTCCATCCAACCTCCAAAGGCATGCACATAATGCACATACATGTGGCCAAAACACTCATACACATAATAAGAAGTCTAAAAAATAATGTTAAAATGAAAAATAAAACTAAGGGCTTGGGATGTAGATCAACAGTATAGGACTTGTGAGTAAGGCCCTGGGCTCATCTCCAAGTGCCACTAAAAATAAACCTGTATTTATACTGAAGCTTTTATTCATAACGCACAAATAAGGAAAGACGTGTGCACAGACAAGATGGCTTAGGTAGAGGTGCCTGCTGGCAAGCCTGACAGCCTGGGTACTGTCCCTGGGACCTGTACAGTATAAAGAGCTCCCATGTAGTAGCAGCAGTGTGTAATTCTCCCCCAGTGCCTCGCGCGGAGGCAGCTATCTGACCTATGATAAGAGTCTAGAGAAGATGCCACAACACCCCCCCTCCACATCTCTGTTCCCTCTCTATTCACCTCTTTTGTTACAATAGACATAATGAGATTCACGTTAAGAGCCAACTTAATAAATATTTCTCAAAGTGTCATGTCTGCCACTTACATCTATAGAGTCTTATCATATTGAAAACTCACCTTTGGGTCATCTAACAGGTTTTTCCATTGTTTGCAACTTTTGCTGTTTTACTCGGCTTATGTGCACTCCCCCTGAGAAAGGGGGAGACAGGTACAGGTTGAGGAAATTAGAAGAGGATTTGATATGAGGAGAGAGAGGCAGAGGGGAAGAGGAGCAGGAGTGAGGGAAAGTGGAAGAGATATCATTAGAGGAAAAGTGGGAAAGAAGGAAAGCCAAAGATGAGAGAGAAAAGGGCACACAAGGAGAAAACTTAATTTGGGTCTCAAATTCAAATGATGTCCTAACCACCTTGCCAAGTGTCTATGTTCTCTCCTTAGCTCACTGTTGGGTCACAAACCTGGTCTCTTTTGCGGCTTTCCCTCCCCTTTTTCTTTTTAGTTCAGGTTTCAGAAGCAGGGTCTGAATGCGGCCACTCAGAACTTGATTTGTAATATTGAACAGGAAGATGAAAAAGCAGCAGGCGGGAGGGAAGGAAACTGAGCATTCCATATATGATTCCTCACTCATTTCTTGAACATTTATCTTTTATCTCATCTAGGAAAAATACTGTGGCATCAGAGAGAAGCCTGCCATCTGGGCTCACTACAAAGGAACCAGAAAAAGTTGAGGAGAAGGAAGCCTTGAAAGGTAAGAAATGAAAAGCCAAGAAAGGAGAGAGAGGGACTCAAGTCCAGAGTGGCAGGTCTAGCTCGGGGTCTGCTGCCTGTCATTCCACAGCTCCATGTACACAGATGGAGCATTCGAAGTGCCCACTTTCCATAAAACACTGTGAAGAAGAGAAAACAGCCTCCTTCAACTGCAGAGGAATGCGGGAGATGAAATGGATGTCTCTGTCCTCCGCTAGCACTGCCTGGGAGCTGGGAGAGAGAACCAGATAAGCTTTGCACCAAGGGTTTATTTTCCTTCTTTGGGCAGCATTTTTATTCTGGTTTTACCTAGAAATTAGAATTACAGACACGTTTTTAGCCTTTGTTCAGCCTGAATTTAATAGAATGAGGGTTTAGGATGTGGTAGTCTTTGCTTTCTTGAGGTAAAGAGTATTAACAAGTGATAAAAGTGTGTGGAAGGGGAAAACAGGAGCTAGAGGAGAGTGAAAAGGGGGAAAGAAATGCTAATCAGGGGGAAAACTGAAAAACTGTATAAGCCTGAGAAAGAAAAATGGGAAGACATGGGAGAGAAGAGGAGAAAGCAACGGGAAAGCACGTGAAAGAAAACAAACAGGGAAAACAGTTAATGCTCTGTGGCAACCCGCATGCCACATTGTAAAGTGTGCCATGCTGTGATTCAGCAAGTTCCAGGAGGACTTTTGCTACTCCTTTGTGGGATCTGTTGTTAGACCCTGGTGACCCAGACACCCACTTCAAGCTGCCTGCTAGCTTTACAGAAATGGGCCATCAGCAGCACAAAATTATCAGCTTTGAGAAAAATAACTGTCAAACAAATGCCCTCCTCAGCCCAGCAGCCCAGCTGTACACACAGAGACAGATAAATGGCATATTCACGTAATGGAGGAAATACTGTTAGAACTAAAGCCTGCGGCTTCTGACTCAACATCAGCATTCGACTGCCTTTCTTCAGTGTCTCTCTCCAAATTCCCTCTGGCTCTCTTTCCCAGATCGTTTCGTGGATTTATATGTCCGTGTCATGCTGTCTCCCAAATTGTCATTCTTGTTCTTTGTCTCACTTGCTCATACATGTAGACTGAGAATAATTCTCTCTGTGTGGGCACATACGTGTGTTGTGAGTGTATTTGCGTGTATATGTATGTGAGCACCTGTGCACATGTGGAGGCCAGAGGACAACCTCAGCTGTCTCCTCAGGATCTGTGCCTCTTGATTTTTGACACATGGTTTCTCAGGGCCTGGGGCTTACAGAGTCAGCTAAGCTTATCAGTGGCCCCCATGATCCTCCAGGCTCAGTGGAGCTGGAGGAGAGGCTCAGTGGTTAAGAACACTGGCTACTCTTTTCCGACGGACCTGGGTTCAGTTCCCAGTACTCACTTGATGGATCACAACTGGAACTCCAGTTCCAGGGCACCTGATACATTCTTCTGACCTTGTCCAGTATTAGGCACACACACACACACACACACACACACACACACACACACACACACACACACACACACACACAGTGCACAAGACACATACAGAAAAAACATTCATAAACATAAAATAAATCTTTAAAAAAGTTATACCTACTATGTAATCTTTTCTTTCCTTTTTTGTGGAACTGACTCAAGCATGACCATAAATGTCTTTATACTTTAAAGTATTTTTTCCTCTCCATTTAAATTAAGTTAAATGTCCTCTGTGTTCTTTCCATAATATTCTCTTATGAGCGTGATGTAGCTGAAGCTTAGTTCCACTCTGAGAATGACTCAGAGGTGAGTCCCCAAAGGGCAAGATTTACATACTGTCCTATATGACAACCGCCTTGTCAAATGCTTATTTTTGAAAGTTAGATTCCTTAAGACATGGGAATGTGTTAAGAAGAAATTCCCAAGCATTAAATAATATCACTCCACAGTGAGTGTAAGGCTGAGGACACATATGAGAAGAGCAGAGGAGACAGCGATTTTTAATTTACCAAAAATGCTCTCCATACATATCTGCAATGGTGGGAGGTCCTGTTACTTTATGTGTTGGACTACATTTGAATTGCTCTCCTCAGAGTGGTTCATGCCTGATCAGAATCAGGGAACTGGGGAGTCAGAGTGACCAGAACACCTGGGAGTGTCTCCATGGTGGAGTGTTTTAGGACAGGAAGGCATCAGAAAGTTCAGCTGGAAGCCTTCATTCTACTGTGTTCTACTGTTCTAAGAACCTGGGTGACTCCTCTACTGAAGAGCACAATAAAACGTGTCTTGGAATTTGTTCCTTACCTGAAGTGCCTGAATCAGTTCTTGTGTTCCTGTAAAAATAAACAACACATTTCAAGGAGCTGCCACCATGACCACAATATTTATACAAGAACAGCAGGGTCTGAGATCACTAGTCATTTTCCAAATGCTTTGGGAGTAGCAGTGACCTGCACTTAGCAAGCCTAGACTGTTAGTGATTATGCCAGGGGAAGATAGTTTATTTACAGGCTATTCAATTCGTAAAAGCCTCAAAATCAAATTGTATGTAATAGCATAAAGTCTGCTGGCATCTCCACGGGCCGCTACTCAGTCTTCCCCTTTTGGAGTGTGTGAGATTTCCCTGCCCACGTAATTGTAGAGGCAGCTATGACTCATGCAAATACATTCACTTCAGGCTCTACAGTGGATCTTTCAGTAACTAAACTTCAATAATTCTCTGGAGTTTGCCAAAAAGGAGTCACATAGCTTGTGCCAATAGGTCTGATGATATAGATCGAAGGTTGAGGTTAATGATAAAAACTGCCAAGAGACTGGGCAATACAAAGAGAATGTGCCTCGTCAAAGCTAAGGGTCACAGCATCACTGCTTTCTCTATATGAGGAATGTAAATTCTTGAAGATTTCCTATGACAGTGGAGAAATCCTGGTTCCTTCATTCTTATCCCATATGGATTTAAATAGCTTACTTTGCATTTTAAACAGTAAAGACCAGAGAAGAACACTACTCAGCAAGGTTATGTGTGGCTTTTTAACATTTTTGCCTACCAAAGCAAACAATTATAAATTATGAAGTGTCTCTGAAATTAATGGTCTTAGGAAAGAAAAATAACATATAGAATGTATTCATCAACCTCACCTTTCTGGCTAAATCCTAAAAATGCCCCTGGAATAAAAGTTAGGTGACTTTCATTCTGTTCTTAAAATATTACATCTTTCTTTTGTAATTAACATTCTCGAATTAGAGGCTAGCTAGTAATTATGTTCCTGGTGCAAACAGGTAGCAAAAAGGAGTCCATGGCATACAAATATGACCCCATGGGACAGACCTCAAGAGAATTACTTAGAATAAAAATTTAGTTTTGTTTTTATTTTCTTATTTATTTCTTCCTAGTAGTTAGTAGATTAATGGTATAGGAAGCTAATGGGTAAAAGTGTTAAAGAATTTAATTTCATATTCTTGTATCATTATTTTGCTGCTTATGTAGGAATTTGTATTATTTCCAATGATCACATAGTAAAACTAAGATAACCTAGCACTTACTAAGTGCTTTTCATTCTGTTATCCTCATGATTTTTATTATTAAAAACAGCAGCAGCAACAACAAAAAACCAGTGGGGCTGGTGAGAGGTCTCAAAGGGTAAAGGCACCTGCTGCTAAGCCTGAAAACCTGAGTTTGATCTTCAGACCCCACATAGTGGAATGAGAGAACCAACTCCCACAAGTTGTCCTCTGACCTCCACATGTGCATCCTCCACACATTCATTCCCCACCCCACCCCCACTAAATGAATAAATGAAATGTAAAAGAACATTTAAAAATAAAACAAAAATGATGCTGGGTGGGGTGACACAGGCCCTTGATCCAGCACTTGAAAGAGAGGTAGGTGGATCTCTCTTGAGACCAGAGCTACATGGTCTACATAGTAAGCTTCAAGCTAGTAGATGTCTTAGTAAAGGTTTATGTTGCTGTGAAAAGACATCATGATTACAGCAACTCTTACATTAAAAAAAACAAACATTTAATTAGGGTAGCATCCTAAAGTTTCAGAGATTCAGTCCATTACCCATTATCATCATGGGAGCATGGGGACATGCAGGCAGATGTGATGCTGGCTACATCTTGACTTGCAGGCAACAGGAAGTGGACTGAGACACTGGGAGGTAACCTTAGCATAGGAAACCGCAAAGCCCACCCCCACAGTGATATACTTCCTCTAACAAGGCCACACCCACTCCCAACAAAGCCACACTTCCTAGTAGTACCTCTTCTCCCTATGAGATTATGGGGGCCAATTATATTCAAATCACCATGCCAGGGTTACATAGTGAGATCCTGTCTCAAGCCAGCAAACAAAACAGTTAAGGGTTGGGGATGTAGTTCAAGGTAGAGCCCTTGCCTAACATGCCTTAGGTTCAATTCTCTGAACTGAAGAGAAAAAGCAACTAAGAGCTAATATAGGGAACTAGAGGGGTGGTTCAGCAATGTATATTACTCTTCCTGAGGTCCTGAGTTCAGCTCATGTCACTCCAGCTCCAGGGGACCCAGTACCATCTGCTGGTCTCCATGGCATCCACGCAACTGCACTCACATATACACAACCCCACACACATACATGCCCAGAATCTAATGATGGGGGGAGCTTTTAGAGAAATGAAATGATTCTTGTGAACATACATTCATCAAAACCTACAGACCTTTACACTATGAAGTATGAACCTTTATGTTATAAACTGTTAACTACAGCCACTTAATAACAACATATCAGCATTGGCACATTGATTATAACATGTCAAGTAACCGAGGAAACTGGGGTGTGCAAGGGAAGCGGCTGTGGTCGTAGCTGCTCATTTATTATGTACATTGAAAGCTGCACTACCAAGTAAAGCCTGTCAATCAATTGTTCTAGGCATGAAACAGTTTCACAGCAAAAAGGTAAAGAAAAGAGATGTCGACCTAACAGCTTCATGAGGTTAGAGTTTGATTTATGGTGTTTGTAGATTATTAGTGGCTGGGAATAATTGTGTTGTCAGAGTGGAATAAAATAGAAGGGTTGATGTCAGAGTGCCTGGGCCTCACCAATAATTATTTAGGACAAATCTGCTAAATTGGATGGATTCATTTATATCATTGAAGGAAGACATCCTAGGGTTTCTATTAAGCCCAAACTGGTGTATAGCAATGGATGATCTGTTCCTGGCAATGCTTCTGTCCTGCATCTTGTATCCCTGCCTTCCTTCTCTATTTCTGACCAATGGTTTCTGTTTCTGTTTCTCTTTCCTTTTTTTTTTTAAAGTTACCTTTTCCTTCTGTTTATTGTTTAAGTTTTTTCCCTTGTTCCTCTAGCACATCAGGTTTACCAGTAGCCTTTCTGCAGTAATTCCCAGGCTGACCTGAGCTGCATATTGACACTTTGTGCTAAAAATAAAAATACTTTTTAAAGGGTAGAGTTTAGTGGCAGTGGTAGTTTAGTGGCAGAGTGCTTGCCTAGCAAGGAGACCCTATAATCAGTTCCTATTACGCAGGGTGGTAGGACACAATGCAGCAGTGATCTAGGGAACATTTATTTTAGTTGCTTCTCCGCATCTTATAGGAAGTAGAAAATTTCCTGTAGGTGATAATAGCAATAGCCAAAGTGAGCCATATGTATAGCTAGCTCTTAGCCTTGGAGAATTCCTACAAAGAGTCTCCTGAGTTTGAGTTGACAGTTTTTTCCTTTGGGTATAAAATGCACATACATACCCCAATCCACACATAAAAACAAACATAATTGAAAAATTAAAAACTCAACTATTTAGTAAAGGCGCTAAGAGACCTATACCCATACACATGGAATTATGAAGTCTTCAAGATGGGAAGCATCCCTCAGTGGTAAAGTGTCCTATTAGTGTGTGGGAGCCTCTTGGTTCAATCCACAGCACTCCTTCCCCCAAATTATCAATACAGAGTTTAACATTTGTAAAATAGATCCAAACTTCTCTGAATTCAAAAGAAACATGGAGAAGCAAAAAGAAGTGCTGTTAATCAACAAAAATCAGATGGAAAAATAATAAATTGCTTTTAATACCCAAAAAAGCTAGAAAAAAAAAAAAAAAAGGAAATTGTGTCATTGCCTCAGTTACACAGGAGAGTTCCTTTTTTGTTGTTGTTCTTGAAGCAACAAAAGTGATTTTCAATGGCAAAGTGTGATTCATTTGCTCAGTAAATATTTACCAGGCACCGTGTATGCATTAAGAACAGGGATAAACAGAAAAAAAATAATCAAGTCCCTGTCATTTGAAGTGCTTTATTCCAGGGGAAGAGGCAGATCATAAACAAACAAAATAGTCTATGCCAGCTAGGATGTGCTGTGATTAAATCTGGGATGATGGGAGCTACAGAGGGAGACAAAGTAGTGATTTGAGGAGGGTGAGAAAGAAAAGGCATGGAGGTGGTACATTTGAGCAGACAACTACTTTATAAAGCTCTGAGAGAACATAGTCCCAAGCTGCCTAACAGTTACAAATATCTGCCAAATAAACCATTTTTAAACACACACACACACACACACACACACACACACACACACACGATATACTTAGATATATATGAACAAAATGGGGAATGAAAAATGGATTATCTTTCTAAGTAACGGATTGAAATTCATAAAATTTCCAACTGAATTATCAAGACAGAAACAGTAAATTGACTCCAGGACACAGACACAAACTTGAGAAGTATGTTTTGGGCCTACAAGATGGCTTAGCCCTATTACAGCCCTTGCTACCGACTCTAATGACTTCAATTTGATCCCTGGGATATACAAGTTGGAAGGAGAGAACTTACTCATACAAGTATCCTCTGACTTTTGTACATGTGCTTACAAACACAGGACAAACAAATGTAAAAATCAACTAGAAAAAAGATGCTAAGCAGTCACCAGTTTCTTCTCATTGGCTGTCCTCATATGTGATGGGGAAATTTAGTGCAACCAAATAATGAACCAACTAACTGTCCATTTTCACAACAAATCGTCATCCTTTCACTTGTAGAAATACATATCAAAGTAACAACCCAAAGGGGGAAGTAATTTATTGGAACACAGTGTTTCATAGTTAAAACCTGCAGGTAATCCACATGACCACAGAAGAAGGGCTAATCTGCTTTAGTACACAAGAGATGCTCACCAGGAAAGGCAAGCATGCAGAACTGAGGAGGACTTACAACCTAGATACCCCTCAATTGAAGAATGGTTAATGAAGATGTGGCACACCTACACAATGGAATACTACTCTGCAGAAAAAATAATGGTATCTTGAAATTCGCAGGCAAGTGGATGGCACTTGAAGAAACCATCCTGAATGAGGTAACCCAGTCACAAAAAGAGGAACACAGTATGTACTCGCTCATATATGGATTTTAGACCTAGAGCAAAGGATCACCAGCCTATAATTCACACCACCAGAGGAACTAGGATACAAGGTGTATTCTAAGAGATTCATATAAAGTCCCTCACAGAAGGGGGAAGGGACAAGTCCCCCAGAGCACAGGGGAAGTGGGGGGGGGAAGCAGTGAATGGAGAGAGAAGCAGGAGAAAGAGGGGGAGGAGAGGAAAACACATGCGACTAGGAAGATTGCATCAGGTAGGAGACAGAAGAGAGAGAGAGAGAGAGAGAGAGAGAGAGAGAGAGAGAGAGAGAGAGAGAGAGAGAGAGAGAGCCATTATTGGTTTGAAGAGAAAACTGAACCAAAAGAAATGTCTAGAGACCTACAAGACTGCTGCCAACTAACAATTTGAGCATCTGTGGAAAGGCTACCATAAATGTCCTTCCCGGATAGTGAGATCAACAACTAACTTATCCATGGAGCTCTCTTCCAATACCTAAACACCGAGTCGAACTAGAATCCAGATGCAGACAGAGAGGACAAGACCGGGTTGTGGAAACACATAGAGATAGCTGACCTGAACAAGGAGGAGCTGACGGGCCCCCAGACTGATGGCTGGGAATCCAGCATGGGACAGACTCAGGCACCCCTGAATATGGGTCTTAGCTAAACGGACTGAGCAGTCTAAGGGACCTCAGATAGTGGAACCAGGATGTATCCCTGGTGCACAAAAGGACCTTGTAGGCACATCCCCCATTAACCTTAACCTAGAGACAGGAGAGAAGTCCTAGTCCCTACTTCAAATGACCTGACAGATCTACATGATCCCACCTGGATGGCATTGCCCTACACATGGAATTGGGGTGGGGGGATGGGAGGGGAGGGTGGTCAGGGTGCATGTGAGGGGGCAGAGAGGGTAAAAGGGAGGAAGGGAGGGAGGGAGAGAGGCAGGGAGGGGGAACTGGGATCGACATGTAAAATAATAAATTAAATAAAAAATTAAATTAACAAAAAAAAGATTATATGCAGGATAAGACAAGTTGAAAACACTCAGTGACACACTGCATGGATTCATTTATGCCTGTAAGTTCTTAAAACCGTGGTTACAAATACATTATTAAATAAATGGGCTTTTTAAATAAATAAAAAAAAATACCATCTTTCTAGAAGTCAACACCCCAGCTATAGAATGTGGGCCCTGTGTGCTTCTCTTCATTTCCTAAAATGCATGCTTTTGGCATTTGGCCAAAAGCTGGAATACCAGCTGAGCAACATAAGAAGCTGGTGTGGAAATAAAAATTAAGCAAGGGTGTGTCTCAAATATGGCTAAGAGGTGCCTGTGTCATCATTCCATCACACTGTATCTGAGAGTCTTCAGAGTCACATGCCTATGTTACAGGGAAGCAAGCGTACATCTGCATGCGTAGTATAAACCCTCCAATGCACACAACATTTCCCCATGCTACTGACCTGGATTCTGTAGCCTTGAGACTCGTGTTTGGAAGGTCAGTCATCTTTTCTTCTGTGGTATTATCATCCATTACATTGGATATGTTTTCCTCACTTTTTACAGGAGTCAAAGTAGTCTGAAAACATTTTTCGCCTTGGAAAGTGAGTGTTATATTTGAGATGGTGACATGTTTGGAGCATTCTCTTAACTCTTTCTTAGTTTTTGTGTCTCGTAGACACCCGTGCTTCAGGACATTTTCCTTGGGAAATGACAGGCAAGAGCAAATCAGATAACAGAAGGACACCATGTAGAAGCAGGTTGTGTATGGGGCAGTTTCTAGTCACTTCACCCATACTTACTGAGTGTACACAGGTCCAGGGACAGGGAATAAGGTGTGGTGTCACATGAGTGTGGAGAAGAGCTTGGACTGGTGTGGAAGTTGGTGGCACGGGAACCACAGCAGGCTCCATTGCAGCCTAATACAGTACATTCAGTTCAGAGTGCCACACCCCGGTGTCACCTCACACAAGATGACTAGTGTCTAGTCACAGCACTCCTCTGTCAATTATGGAGTAAGGAAAGTTTTTCTAGAAATACCTTGACATCTACTCTTCAGTCTATTCTTAGGAGCATCTAATAGGTGATGGGGACTTTGGGCTCATAATAATAATAATAATTCTGTTTGTTATGAACTAATCAAATATGCAATTCTCTAAAACCTCTCCTCTGCCTTTAATGGTCTTCCTGTCACACATCACGTCTCCAGGGCTCTCAGTGACCTTATCAGAATGTCTTACGTGGCCCTCGGTACCATTAGTCAGTGAACTCTATACCTGTGTCTCTGACATTCTTCATGTCTGCTCTTCTTCCTTCACGGCCACCACCTGGTCCATCCTAGTACTGTTGGGCCGAGTGACACATGCCTGCACTTCCAGCACAGGGCAAGCTGAGGCTGGAGGATTGCAAATTCTAGGACAGCCTGGGCTACTATAGCAAGACCCTGTCTCAAAAAACAATAAAGCACAACCCCAAGCATTTTCTTGAGAATAATGCAGTGACCTTAGTTCCTAAAGAGAAAACTTCATTTTTTTTCTTACAGTAACAGCAATGTGTATTTATTCTAGACTAAGATCCTGTAAGGAGAGTCTAGCTAAGAATGCCCACTGCTCCTCCAGAGGACTCAGGTTTGATTCCCAGCATCCACATGTAGCTCTCAACTGCCTGTAATTCCCGTCCCTGGAGAGCCAATGCTCTCTTCTGCCTCTGCAGGCAGTGCACACATGTGGCGTATAGATACACATGCAAACAAACACCTATACACATAAAAAGTATCCTCTGAGGAACGGAGTGAAAGTTAGGAAATGTTTCCTTGTGTGATGACTCTGCTCAGAAACAATGCTTCCTCTGGTACACTTATCTCCATCCTATGGTCATTATATATTTTGTATGATTTGCTTTGAGGTCATTTTAAAGTTGTCGCCTATGTTTCTAGTCCTACAACACATACCTTTTCCTCTTGCTTTGCCTTTATTATGTCATCGTTTTCAAATACGACTGTGACCCCTGAGATGTTTGTGGTCTCTTTTTCTTCTATGACTTCAGTGACTTCTGTGACAATTTTTATATCTGGAACATCTGTGACCTCATATTCTGGAATATCAGTGACGTCAGTGACATCTGTGATGTCAGTGACATCTGTAAATTCTGAGAAGTCTGCGCTGTCAGTGACTCTAGCAGAGTATATGCGAGTGTATGGGTGCATGGCCTGCAGCTCTGCGAAAGCTGTGATGTCCATGATGTCCATTGAGCCTGTGGCATCTGTGCTGTTTGTGATTTCTGAGAGGCTCGAGATCTCTGATACTTTGGAAGCCCTGGCTTTCTCCTGATTTAAGAGGGCAATGAGGTCCACCCACTGAGAAAATTCCATATCCTGTTTATATACAGGAGCACAGAGCTGTAAATAGTAGGCTCGGCCACTTATCAGCTTTATTTTGAGTCGCATGTTCTTAGCACTGTGCACAGAAAGAGTCACAAACTGCAGAGGGAGAAACCTACAAACAAATGGAAATGTAATGTCATTTGGAGACCTATAAAAACTTGGAGAATGGTCTTGTGTTCCAGATTGGTGTGGGTGGGAGCTCCTGAGAGCCATCTCATCTTACTAAAAGATTAGAATATCATTTATCATGAGCAATTGCCCATCCTAATTATAATTAATCCCAAAAAGTTGAGGCTTAGGGTTAGTGAGATGGCTAACCAGGCAAAGGTGCCCACTTGATGACCAAAGTTCAGTCCCTAGGACCCACATGTAAAGGACAGACTGATTTTACAAACTTGTCTTCCGACATTGGACTCATGCACACACACACACACACACACACACACACACACAAACACACACTAAAATAAAAAATATATCACCAATATAGACATCTAGGAATTCAAATAAAAACTACATTGAGATTTCATATTATCTCAGTCAGAATGGTTACTAGCATGAAGATAACAGGTTCTGGCAACGATGCAGGAAGAAAATGGCAATCATTATATGCTTTTGTAAGTTAGTGTAGCTACCATGGAAATCAGCATGGAGATGGGGCTGGGGGACAAAGGAGGGTAAAGAAGGGTGAATATGGTTGATGAACTTAATATACATATATGAAAATGATGTACATTAAATATATAGTGATAAAACTGTCTGAAAATGAGGTTGAAAGCTACTTGATAAAGATCATAGACCAAGTTAGTGGCTGAGATGAGGCCAGAACAAACCCTGATGAAGGGAGGCTGCTGTAAGAGGAAGGGCATGCTCTGAGAGGCAGCCTTCGGAGTCTTCAGTTCTCCTTACTGTAGTTTGTTTTCCCACTTAATTGCTAGTTGTCATAAAACATTTTTTCTGGATGCTCTTAGTTACCCCCCTGCATCATTTGAGAAAGCAATGCACCTGAAGTGTTCCTCTGGGACCCTGGCCATCAGCATTTCCACTTCCAGCTATGGGGGATATGGTGTCCTCAGGGGGATTTCTGTCCTCCCATCCTTGTGACTCACCTGGTGAGCACCAGATTCTCTGTAGAGGGAGATGTCAGGAGGCTTTTAAAGAGGGGTTCTGATTCTTTTCGAGCCTCTGGTGTCAGATGTGCCAACAGCATCACATTAGGGGTCTTGAAGATAGAATTGGAAGAGCAGATGCCTACGGTCACCCAGTTTGCACGGTTATGCAGATAAATAGATTCACCTTTCCTATTGACCTGAATGCAGAGAACAGGAAAGGACTTTCATGATAAAAGGCATGGATCTAGCACCCTTGCTTGCTAAAACAGTGTAAGGGAGGCCAGAGGACAAGGGGAGAGTGCATGGTTCCTCCATTCCTTGACTTGTTCATGATTTGGAGATAGCAGAAGGACTAGCCACAGTCTCTGGTTTGTGTGGTCTCCTAGTGAGGACCAGTGCTAGCGACTGAGGTACCTATTAGTACTTCAGGGTACTATGGAGCCTGTGGCTGGGGGACTGACTTAGGAATGTAGCTGGTCATGTGCTAGCACACATTTAGCCGTTAGTTCAAATGAATGAGCACTCTGGGTGCTTTCCAGGATACTTTACCCCCGCACCCCTTGAAGCTCCAAAGTCAGAAATCATGGTATTTTGCTGCCAACAACTACCTAGAAAAAACTGGGCATCTTAGAGGGTATGACTGCAATTATATGGGACTGTGGCTGATATGTAGACCACAAACTTCCCCCACCCCCGTGTTGGGCCAGGGCTATGCAATTAGAGTGTACAAGAGATAATATGAAAATGGTACAGGAAGAAAAGCAAAAATGAAAGATTATTAGGAGGAAAGTAACTGAAAGCCAAAAACATTAAATTATGACATCACATGTTCCAGGGTATGATGTGATGTGGGGCATCACTGAAACCTGTTCTGGAGACTTGGCTCCTCCCTGTGGTACAATGGGCACAGAGAAGTCACACTAGTCCTGCTATCAGTCAGAGGGTGCGTTTTTGAAGCATGGACCCTCCTTATCTTTAAAATGCTTGTCACCTTCTTTGTCATACTCTGTGGGATCAGCTGAGTGTGTTGGCTTAGTGGTCAGCATCGGACACTGTCATGACATTTCTGTGAGGGGCAGGCATGGTTCACATTGATGAACCTGTATCTTTGCTTGGATATCCAGTGTCGAGTGTTGAGAGGAAAACCAACACTACTCCCAGGTGCTCTGTGGCTTCATCCAGAATGCAGGTGCATTCTTATAAGAAAGAAGTGGTTGTTTCTGATACTATCTGACTGTAATGGTTCCTGTTCAGAACCAACAGATAAGATTCATTTTAATTCTTAGCACTCCACAGGTTGTTGTTTATTTATGTGGGCACTAGGGAATGAACCACGGCTTTGTGCATGCTACACGAGTGTTCTTCCATCTCCTGCCTCAGTACTTGTTTTAAAATATGGATCTAGGGGCTACAGGGAGCTCAGCTTATGCACCTGCTGCCCTCATTGAGAATCTGGGTTCCATTACCAACACCTACATGGTGGCTCACAACTATCTGTAGGCACATACAGAAACATCTGCAGGCCAGCCACTCATATACATAAATCATACAATTTCAAAAATTAAAATAAAACCCTAAGAAATTATCTGAATACCTACTGTGATAGTATGTTTTAAAAATACTTTTGTGTAACAAGATTATGTTAGCATGACAGTTATGGTAGAATTTGGACAGCATTCTTGCCTTTGAGTTTGTTGGGAACATCTGAAATGAATTTTCCTGTAACACTAGTTTTTCAAAATGGTTTCCCTTAATATCACAGTGTCCCCTTAGCACATTAAAAATTCTCTTCTCAGCCTTTCACTGTCTGAGAACATGAAATATGGAAGTTACTAGAACTTAATTCAGAGTACAAGTATTAATTACCTGGATAAAATTGCTCTCCAGTATGGGAGGAGATACAAAAGGGGCATACTCTCCTCCATCCAGTATACCCTTAAGATGCCCTAGACCATGAGACGGTGGGATCCAGACAGGGTCTTGCTCTTCCATTGCCTCCTTGTTCTTCTTCATCATGCTGACAGGAAACATCAGAGAAGTGAGAGAATGGGAAACAAACTGATGAATACACAAAGAAGGTCATAGTTATAATACCTCTTTTAGTTGTTAGTAAGTTTTTATCGAAACCTGCAATATGCTTGACTCCACGCTAGGCATTGTAGGCACATGTACATCAGCAGCTTATACTTTAGGGGTGATAGAGAGTAAACAAATGGAAAAGTTGTCTGCTAGTACAGACACTAGTCATAAAACAGGATGAGTGTGTGGCTGGCAATCCTTACTAGGGTGGGAAGGAAGGTAAGGGGACTTCAACACATGCCTTCTACCCCAAACCATTATTTTCTACCTTCCCAATTAACTAATCATGGAGGGATTTCATGTCCTTTTATGTAAGGATATAAAAACTGCATTAAACACCTCACACATGACTGGGCCTTAGCTTTTGTTGGGGGGTGGGAGGAAGTGGGATATCTATCTAATTCATGACAGTTCATTCCATGCTACATAACTCAGGCTCTCCATCTCTGAAGATAATTTTAACAGAAAACAGTGATGCTATGCCACTGATTTCACCTTTTGTCTATCAAAAAGGATTGCAGAAAGGGAAGAAACAGAGCCCCCAAATTTGTGTACATACATTCAAAAGATTATTCTTTCTACTTAAATGTTTTCTGTAAAGAATATATGCAATAGGTCAAAAGCTAAAAGATACCAACCATCACTCATCATAAAGCACATGTAAGTCACAAGTGCAGCCAATCCTCAGAGACCCCTTTCTTCAGAGTCCAAGACAAAGTGTAAATCCTAAGCCTGTTTCTTACTTCCTGTCAGGGCTGTGCCTCTCATAAGTGATGGTCTTGGGCACAGCAACTCCATGTCTTAGCACAGTTTTCCCTGACAGGCTTTCTACTGTTAACTCAGTGGCTCTCTTAAAATATGTTTACAGAGAGGATAAAATCAGTGAAGATGAGCATGAGAGTGAAGATATTGAAAGACTAAAATAGCTCAGTGAAGTTAACTACTAGGATATGGCCTCAGCACATCAGTTCACAGAAGCTAAACTGTGAAAAACAATGAGACTCTCAAAAAAGTATATTCGCCAAAGAAAAAGAAAGCAAAGACAATCATCACTTAAAATACAGATGATGAGAAATAATCATTTAAAAATTAGTGCTTCTGTAGCTAAGCAATGAAGATTTTGCATGCCCTGAATCATTTAATCATTTAATTTTGATTATAATCATAGACCACACAGCTAAGTCATCACACAGTTTGTACCTAATAAACTAGGATTCAGACCCGCATATCCTGACTAGAGGCGCTCACGGCTGTTGCTAAAAGTCAACCCTGTCCTTATGTGCTTGGGAAGTTACACGTGGGAGATGGTAAGAATGAGAGAGCTTGGGATAATAGGAAGAAAGGAGAGCAGGAGCAAAGGGCACAGGAAACATCTCTTTTTCTTCCTGCATCCTTCTCTTCCTAAACAGCTTGGTCTGGATGCATTGGTGGTGCAGAGAGAGGTTGGAGAAGAGGTGGGGATGCATCCCAAATAAAGCCCAAGGAAGGCAGCACAGCTCCCTATGCCCACTGTCCCCACCTGTCAGCTCAGGCTGTCATATCACTTCACATGTCTCCAAACTAGAAAAGCTGGTCAAGGTCCTGGTGAGACAGCACATTGGGGAAAGGCATGACAACCTGAGTTCCATTCCCAGGACCCACACAGTAGAAGGAGAGAATCAATTCCTACTAGTTGTCTTCTGCCTTCCATTGCATAAATAATAATAAAAAATTAAACTTTGTAATTGTAGATGTATCTTGGCACACGGACTCTCAGGAGAAAGGGAGAAGAGAGCTTGTAGAGACTAGTAGGCAGAAGAAGGGGAGAGAACAGGAGGAGGAAAGATGAAGAGCAATGTGACCAAACACCTGTCCATGGTCCCTCATGTATCTTACCTCAAGGCCAAGTCACACTCCTGTGTTGGAAGTGAAGTTTGCAACTCACTTCAGTTTGAACTTCCTCCTTTTCATAATGAAACTTTTGTCAGAAGAACAAATACAGAAAGTAAGAAATACAGAGGAAGCTAATTTCATTTATATACCTTCTACTTCATATGTTGAGGTCTAAGCTTTAGAGTCTTGTAACTAGGCCAGATGTATTTTTATGGTTTGGATGTTATGTGCCCTCAATGGGATCATGTGTTATAGGCTTAAGGACTGGATCACAAGAGGGCTTCAATGTAATCAGTGGGTTAATCTGGCAGAGAATTTATAATTTGCTGGCAGCACTGTGCAGTGTTGGCAATTTTTAGAAGCTGGGCCAACTAGATGGAGTACATCACAGCAGATGTGTTAGGGAGCTATAGTGTGTCTTGAGGGGGTCCTTCCTTTTTTTCTTTCTCTTTCTTGTTCTTTTTCCTTCTCCAATCACCATAAAAGGTAAGTATCTTCCCTCTGTTACTATTACCCTGTCTGGGTGTTATCAGAATGGTCTGTTTGAATCTAGTGGCTGCTGCTGTTCCTAATTCACTGTGGTCTTTTTTGCATGTGTGTGCATGTGTGTCATATGTTTATGTATGTGTTCATTGTCGGCATGAGAAGATATGTACATACAACAGGGTTTCTCACTGAAGGCAGAGCTCATTGACTCAGCCACATCATCTGGCCAACAAGCATTAGGATCTTCCTGTTTGGTTCCCCAATACTGGGATTACAGGTACATGCCACTCACTGCACCTGGAGTTTTACATGTGTTCTGGGGATCTGAACTCAGGTCTTCATGCTTGTGTGGCAAGTATTTTACTGACTAAGCCATCTTTCTGGCCACCTCATCTTGGTCTTATGTAATTGGAACCCAAACTAATAATTGGTTTGAAACTGCTTCTATGACTAAGGAAACTAGAAGGTAACAAGACAAGACAAAGGAGGTAATACAGACTGTGCTATTATTAGTTTGTACTTAACCACTATTGAAATTGTGTTCCTATGCTTACTTTACATTTTTTATTGACACCTTCTGCTAAGATTAAGAAAGTCTAGTACAAATTAGCAGAACTTACACCAGAGACTTGGAAGGTCTTGGAGTAAGTAAGGTGGCTCAGCTGTTTTAGATGCTGATGACCTGAGTTGATTCCTTCTCCACCCTTCCACATGGTGGAAGGAGAGAATAGACACCTGCACCATTATCTTCTGACTCTTACATGCACACCATGGCAGGTGTGTATGCACCCACATACACACATGCAACACACATTAATAAAACATTTTAAATGTGAAGATGAGAGCACAGAAGAGCAACAAATAGATATGGGGTAGGAAAAAGTAAGCACTGGGTTGTGTACATACATTTTTCTTCTGTTTGCCTTTTAGTGGCTCATAGTATTTTACAATATCTTAGACTTGAGATAAAGCACTCAATTTTTGCATAACAGAGTACACATCTTTGAAACAAAATCATTCCAAGAAAGTAAAAGTGTCACTTGTTAGAGGTATGTCTTATATTGTAGATGCCTAATCAGTGGATGCTACATCACCACTAGGACTAGGAATGTCCCTTCCCAGTGCAGTCACTGTGGCCTCTATGATACCCTATATTTAAGAACAGAGAGGCTGTGTAGATGGCTCCACCGGTAAGTGGAGCTATACAACCCCTAGCAGCTGTGTAAAGAGCTGGCCATGGTGTATGCTTACAACCACAGTGCTGAGGTCAGAGAAAGAAGATTCTCAGAGCTTGCTGGCTAGCCAGCCTAGACACAATGGCAAGTTTTTGATTTGGTGAAAAACCCTGTCTTACAGGACAAGGCAGAGAGAACTAGAGGAAGACACCTGACCTCCTCTCTAACCCTGTATGCACATATATAGGCACAGGCACACCTACACCCATGTGCATCTAACACACACACACACACACACACACACACGAAGTAAAAATGAAAAATAATTTAAGAACAATCCCACAGGCCATAGAGAGAAAAGAGGAAAGAAGGACGGGGAGGCAGCCATGAGTGAATCTTACCCTTCTTCATCTTTCTCGAATCTTCAAACAAAAGTGAGGTCAGCTAAAGAGCAGAAAATGTGCCAGTCTCTTTTATCATCTTTCATGTGAAGTGTTTTGTTCTATTTTTGGTGAAAGTTTGTGCTGAAATCATTTTGACATTTTTGGGTTAGTATATTGAATTTTGAGTAGATTTAAAAGTTTTTATTTTATTCTTATTTGTTTTTGTTTTGATTTTTGAAACAGGATTTCCTCTGTGGAACAGTCCTGGCACTCCCTTTGTAGACCAGGCTGTCCTTAAATTTACAGAGATCCACCCACCTCACCTCTGTCTTCCAAATTCTGAGATTAAAGGAATGTGCCACTACCACCTGGCTTATTATTTTTTTTCTTATTTTTACATATTGATCCTAGTTCCCTCTCCCTCCCTCTTTTCCTCCCTCCCATGCCCCCTACCCCCTCCCATTCCATCCCCCCCCCACTCCACAGGCAGGGTGATGCCTTCTAGGAAGCATCATCAAAATCTGTCAAGTCATTTGGAATAGGGCCTAGGTCCTGCCTCTAGGCTAAGGGAGTATCCCGCCATGGGGAATATGCTCCCAAAGTCCTTTTGTGCACCAGGGATACATCCTGGTTTCATTGTCAGAGGTAACTTACTTAGACTGCCCAGGCCTTATAACCGAGACCCATGTTCAGGGGGTAGGAGTAGGTATAATGCTGGTTTCCCAGCAATCAGTCCGGGGGTCATTTAACTCCCCCTTGTTCAGGTCAGCTGTCTCTGTGGGTTTCTGTAGCCTGATCTTGACCCTATTTTCTTATCACTCCTCCCTCTCTGCAACTGGATTCCAGGAGTTCGGCTCAGTGTTTAGCTGTTGGTGTCTGCTTCTGTTTCCATCAGCTACTAGATGAGGGCTCTATGATGGCATATAAGTTAGTTATCAATCTCATTATAAGGGAAAGGCATTTAAGGTAGCCTTTCCACTGTTGCTCAGTTTGTTAGTTGGGGTCATCCTTAAAGGTCTCT